CGCCATACTCTATAATCCAAACTCGAGAGCCTGGAGTTGGGTGTGGTCGACTGATGCGGTCGACCGTCGAAGCCTGTAGTTGTTTTTTGGGCTCTGTCATTTGTCACGGTCAACCGTCACGGTCGACCGCGTATCGGGTCAGGCCCATATCTGAGTTTCATGTTCTGATTTGGATTGGTGTTTAATATAAATACAAACACACGTTTTAGGGTTTCGGTAGAGCAGTATAGGGGATTTTTGGAGCACAGAAAGGAGATATTTTCTGGAGCTATTGGTTAGGGTTTTGTTTGAGAGATTAAGAGCTTTGTTGGTGAGATTAATTGGTTTTGAGAGATTAAGAGCTTTGTTGGTGAGATTAATTGGTGAGTTTGAGTGATTTGTAATCTCAGTTTGTATTCTTCTTCTCTATTAGGTGAGATTAATTGGTGAGTTTGAGTGATTTGTAATCTCAGTTTGTATTCTTCTTCTCTATTAGTGAAAACCTCATCCCCTTCTTACCCCGTGGACGTACATAGGCAATTTGCCGAACCACGTAAAAATTAGTTGTTTGTGTTTGTACCGTTATTTTGGTTTGTTTGGTCTTCTCTCTCGGCGTTTGGTTTGGTTCCTCGAAGCATAACAATTGGCTTCTGGGCACAACAACTATATCACTCTAAAATGACGTGGGAAAGAGGAATTTGAGTTTCGTGTGGTAATCTTACCCTTGGTAAGATGAATCTTTTGATTGGTTTCCAAACTCTTCACCTTCACTATAATCAGACTTACATTTACTACTAACTGCCTCGAAAACGCTCTCTCTCTCCCTTGGAAATAGGGGAGATTCAAAATGCATATTCTTTGCCACTCTACTCTATGGTTTCGTGTATAAATTTACCCTCATCTTCTCTGATAATTACTAGGTGATGCTTTGAATGGGTGAGTCTACTCTCAGTCGCAGAGGAAAGAGACGAGAGAAATGGATAAAACACTACTCCAGTTCTCACAAGATTTTACTTGTGGGAGAAGGAGATTTTTCATTTTCTTCATGTTTGGCTAGGTCCTTCGGCTGTGCTCTTAACATGGTGGCTACTTCATTACACTCTGAAGGTAAAACTATCTAATACAACATCACCCGTAGATATAGCCCTTTATTTTTTTCGAACTAGCTATCCCTATTACACGGTAGAAACTATCAAGCGGTTTCTGTCAACTGAATAGATTATGCATCAATGTTGTCTAGCTATATCCTTGGATCCGTACAGAACACGAGTGTTCATTTGAAGAACTAAATAGATGCAAACATTTGTACATGCATTTTGACGGATGGTCTTGTGCGCATATGCGCATTCATAAATTATGCTAAAATGCTTAATGTTGGCTCTTCTTTTAGAGGCATTTGATGTGTTTGATCTTTTACTTGCATATATTCAAATGCATGTTGATCAATGATCTTTTATTTGCGTAGAGATACAATGTTAAATATCCTCTCAAGTTTTACCAATGTACTAATGTTGCTTCTTATCCGTGATATGTATTTTATGAGTAAATGTCAGAGATGTTGCCCTTGAAGCATTGGACTTCAGTTGCACATATTGAGGAGCTCAAATCATTAGGGTGCACAATATTGCACAATGTGGATGTCAAAGACATGCATGAGCATGATACACTGAAGACCATGAGATTTGATCGAATCGTCTACAACTTCCCCCACGCTGGCTATTTCCTTCACCTCTCTGAGACACACAGAGAACTCATTAGGTTGATGCTTACTCGAAAAGTCCTTATTTCATAGTCTCTCATTACTCTCTCATGGCTGATATCTCAGAATATGTTTTGCGTTTTGTATAGGAGGCATAAAGAGTTGGTGAAGGCATTTTTCACAAGCGCGTCGAAAATGCTTTCTAAGCACGGTGAAATTCATGTATCACATAGAGATGACCATCCGTATGTAAAATGGGAGCTCGAGAAATTAGCTAATGAAGTCGACTTGGTTCTGATTGAAAAAGCGGAGTTTCAGAAGTCGGATTATCCTGGATACCACCACAAGAGGGGTGATGGCAGAAGGAGCAACAAGTCCTTTCCTCTCAAAGAATGCTTCACTTTCAAATTCTCGACAAGTAATTAGGTTGGAGGGAGAAATATGATGAGGAGAATTGGATTATAAACTTCCATCGTGTTAATTATCTTGAAAAGTTTGAATCATGACCAATTAAAATGTCAAGATTGGATGAATAGAAATATTGCGCTTTCGAACCACTGGATAAAATGTGTATTATGCAATGAAAATTGGACGGTCAACTCCATTCTCGATCTACATCTTAAGATGTCTATTAATGAAAAATCATGTGTGTTGAGGGTATATTACACATGCATCAAGTGGTAAAAAAAGTAACGGTTTCCAGACAATTGGATAAAAGAGAGCTCTTGATGCATGGGTTAGACTATAATTACCATGGATGATCCATTCCTTTCATCATGATTTAAATGTCTTAAAACATCTACAAATTAAAAATCATAATGTTTCAGTACTTCTAACACATATTTTCCACTCTCTTTAGGTTGTATTATTATGAAACTCTTAATTTTACAAGCACTTGATGCATGAGTAACTATAATCCGGTACGTCTAATTTTTTTATTTATATACCATCTAAGACATATAGATTGAAATGAATGGAATGGATCAAGCAAATTTATTACATATAGTATAATTTTGAAAGTGGGCATAACAAATCTAGTTATGCCCTAGAAAGAAATATATCTTGACACACACACAGACAGAGAAATGAATGTCCTTGGTACTAAGGACAAACTTGTACCTTAATAGTGATGTGGCTCATTCTAATCCATTCATTTAAATGAACCCCATTTTAAAATGTCTCGTTGAAAATGAGTAGATGAGATGAGTCATGTTACTACCAATGACTAAAATTGGTCCTTGTTACCAAGGATACTCATATTCCTCATATATATATATATATATATATAATATATATAACTTATTATATATAATTATAAATATATATATAATATATAATTATATATATATATGAATAATAAGTATAGGTATATATATACTGAGAAAAAATAAAGAAACTTGTACGGCAAGTAAGTTTAGGGTAGTGATGGTGGCGCTAAAATATTGTCCCTGACATTTACATTGGAGTTGGTGAAGAGTGGTTGGAGGCACCTAATCTTCGAGAGTGTGATGTAATGGGCAAGATTAGTGCCACATCACTACCAAATCTAACTTGGTACAAAGTTTCTCCATCTCTCTCTCTTCTCTCTCTCATGCGCTGCCGTCATCATCTCATCTGCCTCTCTTTTCTCTCTATAATAGTATATCATTATATATATAGTAGATAATATATATATATATATAGTATATATATATATACTATATAATAATTATATAAGTATATAGTGTATATATAAAATGGGTATGCTTGGTAAACCGAGCATAAAAATTTTATGTTTGGTAAGTAAGGTGGCATAATCCCCTCCATCTCATGTCAAATGGTTGGCATATCCCAATGCACTTCTCAACCATGTGAATGTGAGTCCCACAATTTGAATGGAGTGAAAGGGATATATGTCAGCCTGCACTAACCGAAGCAAAAATTTGTGTTTGGTAGCCAAGCATACCATATATATATATATATAGTATAGAAGAAAACTTGTGTCAACCTTTAAGTGAACGTCTACCAAACTTCTTACCATTAGATGGTTTCCAATAGGGATCCTTGCATGATATATATATATATAATATATATATATATATATAATAGTGATAAGTTATATATATATATATAGTATAATAATATATATAAATATATAATATATATATAAGAAAACTTGTGTCAACTTAAGTTGACATCCACAACTTAAGTTTGAATCCACTCAAAGAGCGGTGTGGCTTACCATTAGATGTTTCCCATAGGTGATTCTTAGCATGAATAATATATATAATATAATAATAATATCATATATAATATTATATATATATAACTAATGATAATATATAATATATATAGTATATATATATAGTATGAAGAAAACTTGTGTCAACTTAAGTTGACATCGCACACAAAACTTCTTAAACCATATAGATGTTTTCGCGTAGGGATCAACTTGCATGAATATGAAGTAGAACTTTAATATATAATATATAATATTAATCATATATATATAATATATTATGTGTGTGTGTAGTGTGGTGTGTGATGTGTGTGTGTGTGTGATGTGGTGTGTGTGCTGGTGTAATGTAGAAGTTTATGCGTGGACAATTATTGCCCATATCCACTTAAGTTGATAGGAGTCTTTGCAATCTCTCCCTCTCTCTCTACAGGCAATCATCTCGAATCTCTCTCTCATCTATATATATATATATATATATATATTATAATATATATATATATAATATTATATAATATAGTATATAATATATATATATATATAATAATATATAATAACTATATATATATCGAACTAGAATACAACTGAGTTGGTAAGAGCTCTGGTACCAACTTTTTTATACACTGATTTTGCTTTGAGACTCATGCTCGCATGTGATGCACATCAAGGCATAAATCTCAAAGGTAGCCTTGATGTGCAGCACTAATCTCAAAACATAATCAACATATAAAAAGTTGGTGGATAGGTAATCCTGATGGTCTAATACATTAAAGGGATCAACCGTTGGATCTGTGTGAACAAGTCCCCAAGTCCACTAATCCAACGACCAACGTCTTTTTGATACACCATTAATGTAAAAGACCACGACCACTAGACGCTTTCTCCGAACGCATGCGTAAGTTAAACTATATATCAAATAATATCACGATTTGTATCAAGCATCCTTCATGTTAGATTGCACTTTGTATGCAAAATTGCTTTTGTTGGTTAGATAGAAAACGATCAAATCATATGTGTATTTTTTTTACCAATTCAACATTATGTACTGTATGAGACTACGAGTTGACATTCTTCGTGTGGCAAATACATAAGGATAAAAATCCCACACAAAGCCTCATGTGTATAATTAGGAAAAGCATCTAAAACATGTGAAAGTGGTTAGTTTGGATATGTAAATTGTTGACACAAGATGTGGTTTTTTGGTCCAAAAATAGAAAATTTTCATATCTAAAGGTTTCTGAGTGTAATTACTGAACAACACTTAAACCTTAACTTGTACTATAAATAAGTACCTTGTACAGTTTTTTTTCAATAGATAATTACCTCGTAGTTTTCATATTGTATATGTGGCAGTAAGACAAGGGGTTACCATTCACCAGATTACCCTTTTTAATTGAAAAAAAATTGATTTGAGTTTTTACGTAAAACACTGAAGGCTGGTTGGTTCATATGTTTTAACTTTTAGCTACATAGATTTTACTGATATGAGAGATTTATAAATAATGCATTGCATCCGAGCGTCATGTTTTATTCATCCATCCTTTGTTTTCCCACTCCCGCCCACAAATCTATTTTAGTGCTGCTTTGTAGAACATATGACTTTGCCCTTTTTGTCCTTTTTCAAAATTGAAAATTTTGATATGACTTGTGCTTCTTTTGATTTTCTTCCTGAACTATATGCACCACCATTAAAAACAGTAGGGTACTGATCTCTAGGGAGTTGAACTCCCGTGAAGTTTTTTCTCATAACAAAACTTCAAGTTTTTTCTCACAAAAAATTTCAACTCCCGTGAAGTTTGAAATTTTTTTTTTTCAAAAACAGACCCAGTTTCATCCAACTGGGTCTGTTTTTGTAATTAAAGTTGAAATAGGTCGTTTTTTATAAATAAATTTTAAAAAGGGATGGTTTTGAAAATTTGTCCGTGCACCTACAAGTGTAGCATTGCAGCATGTAAAGCTTAGGAGTCGGGCTTAGTTAATAACTGGAAATGTATACAGGGTTAGTCTGTATTGAGGTTGCCTCTGCTACATTTTAGCCATTGGATGTAGAGGTTAATGGCTATAAATTATAAAGTGAGGCATGATATCAGCTCACAAGAATTGGAAATGCGGTCAGCAAACTATGTGTAAGATTGTTGCATTCATAGGATAGGAAATAATAAGAAATCTAGTACATTTATAGGAGGTTAGACTTTGATCCTGTTGAGGACAAAATTGTTGGGACAAACCCGGGGCCTAATAGAGCAGGGTCGCAGCAATAGTAGAGCAAAAGTAGAGATAAAATGTTGGACACACAGATTTACGTGGTTCGGTACTTGATTGCCTACGTCCACGGGCAATGATAGAAGAATTCACTATGAGGAAAAAAAACTCTGGAGTTACAAACTCTCTCTTTACAATGAGAAACTCTCTCTATTTTTTCTCTCTCACTCTTCTTATATAAGAAGTTGTTTCTGTGATGAGATTTCCTTAAGGATTTGGAGCCCTATTTATAGTTTTTAGAAAAACACTATACACAATAAAATATTAATATTTTACTGTAGCAGTGGGGCCCACAGTTTTGTTTTCTTCTCAAATTTTCAAAGATGGCTGCTGCTTTTTCTTGATTATCAACATGTGGGCGGCTTGGGCTCTGACAATCTCCTGCAGTTCGACTAACAATCAAGGAGGAGTTTTTGTTACCACAAGCGCCTGTAGCAGTGGATCTACTTGTTTTACCTTTGACCACAATATTAGCATATATTCTTGTGTATAGATATTATTTGGTATCCTTGACCGAATAATATGTTGATTTTGTGAATATTATTAGTTCCTATTTTACGGGATTTGTTTCCTATTTTACGGGATTTGTTTAGGAGATTTTGTGAGGTTTTTCCTAATTTATAGCTTTGTAATGTGGTATAAATGGGGAGACCCTGATTGAATGAGACACAGAGAAAATTCCCCAAATCTCTTGTTCTTACTTTTTGGTATCAGAGCAACAGGTCTAATTTCTTCTGCATTTTTTTTTTCTTTCTTTCTCTTGTTCGATCATGGGGGATGACGACAAGAGCAGTGGCGCCACCAACGTCAATCCGATATACACGCTTTCTTCGCAAGATGGCACGGGGGCGAAAATTACTCATGTAGTCCTCACTGGGCCAAATTATGAAGAATGGGCGAAGGGTTTCCGGGTTGCGTTAGGGGCAAAGCGGAAATTGGGGTTCATTGATGGAACTCTCAAGCGGAAACCGGCTAATCCCAAAGAATGGGATGATTGGACGGCTGTCAATTACTCGGTTATTGCGTGGATTTTCAACACTATCGAACCTCGTGTTCGGTCCACCATTTCGTATCGAGAGACTGCCTATGACTTGTGGGAGGATATTCGCTCTCGTTTTTCGGTCGGT